TGTTTATCACTGCAGTGTTATTTGTATTATCAAAGTCAGTATAATGATGTGGAATTTTCATGTCAAAAAATGATTGTTTTAATCTTAAAAAAATGATGATAAATTTACCTTTAAAAAGTAGGACTACTTTATGAAAAATAAAAAGAGAAAAGAAAAACTAAAATAAAATGAGACATCTTTCTCTTGATATAATCCAAATACAAAATATTTTCTTTCTGTCAGACATCTTATAAAGTCTAAAACATCCTATTACTTTGCAAAAAAAAAAACAAACAAACAAACAAACAAACAAACAAACAAAACATTGAATGGTCATAAGAAAGATTCTTTTAAGGCAATATGAATTGATATTTACGAATTAATTACTGTAAAAATGTGCTGTTATGATAATTTTGCAATAACTTACATCTTAAGTTTAGATTTTATCAGAAAAAGTAACTGATCTTTAGAAAATTTAGCATTGCATAAGAAATCAAATTTTGAATAGGAAGAAAGAATGTAATTTTGATTTAATTAGAGTTTATAAATAGTTCTGACAACGAAAGTATAATTAACAGAAATTAAAAACCTTTATTTCTACTGTCATTGGAATCACTGGGATAGCAAGTCTTAATTTACAACACAAAGTTGCATTTTATATTATATTAACAACTAAATTTTTCTTATCGTACAAGAAAGATAGATTTGATTGATGAAAAAGGCCAAACTAACAAACAGTGATTGATCTAAAAAGATCTACAAACAATACAAATCTGTGAAAAGAGTATATAACACGGACCCCTGGAAATTCCAGCATGGGGTCGCGTGCCTTGGAGGAGAAAGCATTCCCTGTTGGCCATACACACTCGCCGTGACCTTATGTATGATCAGGTAGACGGAATATTCCGTAGTTAAATTCATAGTATAAAAAAGGCCCAACAATTGGTATGAGATATGTCAGTCAAAATACGACCCAATGGTTATATCAGCTAACACGGTCATTATAAATCACAGAATTTACGAAATGTAGAATTTAAACGATGTTTAAACATCAACTTGCCTGACATTAGCCTGCCTTGGTGAAAAAAGCATGCTCTTGAGTATCGAATAAGTTAAGGGACATAAATACTATAATCAAGTGAAAGTGGAATATTATTACATAAATAAGGAAAGTCGAAGATGGAAGAGATGAAGTCATCTCGTTTGTCAAAAGATTTAGTTGTTAATTAAACATTATCGTCTTTAGTCAGTAAAAAACCCAAATATACATTTCTAAAACACATAATTCATACTGATAAAATGTTCAGGTCATCTCCATTATCTCGAGTGCAACGTTTGACATAATCTTCGTTAGAATTCATAATAGAGATGAAGTTCTGTCGCCAATTGAAAGATTGGGGCTCCCTGTATTTGATAAAATGTACCCAAAAAATGAACTCATTTTAACAAGTTCTCTAGAGTTATAATTTAATATTAAATAATACTTGTAAAAGATTAGAAGTTGTATTCAAAAGATGTGATTATAGTGCATACAACTTTATAAGTTTCTGAAATAAGTGAAGCAAAAAATATTGACGATATACGCGTTTTTCTTGGACAACTCTCGTATGGGTCATATTTTGGTTACTGAAAGTTAAGTTGATGTTATGGGGATTTCAATAACCTACGTTAAGTCAGCATTTTGTAAATTTTATGGTCATTATAATGACCTTGTCAGCAAATATATCCAATCATTGGGTCGTATTTTGGTTGATGTTTTTCTTCGAAATGTGAGTCCTTTGTTTTATGGATTTAGGGACCACCCCATTTACCCGATTAATACAGAATCTGGTGTAACTGGTCGACAGGGGATGCTCACTCCTTCTGGACACCTGATCCAAACTCTGGTGTTTCCAGGGATCTGTGTTTATGTCCTATTTGTTAAATTCACTCCTTCCTAAGTAATAATTTGTGTCTTCAATATTACTATTTATTATATTCTTCTCTTGAGAATATCATGAAAAAAAATTATATTTAAGAGGAAGAAATTAAACTTTTAACAAATCTGAAACAGTAAATTTTAATGTAATCATAAATTTATTAAACAATTTTGTGTCCATACAATCTCCCAAACACGGGGAAAAGTTTTATCAAACTACATATATAACTTTGCATCTGGTTAGCATAGGAATTTATTTCATTGTTTTAAAAAATATATGTTTCAAGCATATCTACATATATCATGATTTACTGGTTTTTATTTGAAAATTTACAGAAAAATAATATTTTAATTTTGAATACTTGATAAAAATCAGTTAATGACCCTATATGTACAGTCTGTCTTTTGTTAGTCATGCATGTGTACCATAAAGTAGTGATTTGATGCAAAGATTTCTTCTCGGATGCTACCAGTGGTTTAATGTCGTAGACATTACCTGAGTGTAGCTCCTGCAGTTACCAAGGTTTTAGGTTTGACTAATACAGGAAAAAATTGGCATATTACATACCGCTAAGGCAATTAGAAGCTCTATGTTGATTAGGTTTAGTGTGTAATTACATTGTAAATGTATAAACAGTTCCTGCAATAAGGAAGAAACAAATAGAGGACATGACAGAAACCGGAAGTATGTGTGCCACAGGTGCCAACTTCTGATTTCACTGACAATGAATAAGAAATTAAACGTTAAACTGATTCATTCAACTTTCACATTTATGAAATGATATCATATACGGAGGACCCTTAATTCTGTTGGATTCCATTATTTCAGTTCTTATAATAAATTTATATTCTATAGTGCCGACAAAACTATATTTAATTAAAAACCCACAATAAAATTACGCAATAAAAAAAAGGGTTGCGGAACTTTATTTTGTGACGGTAGATTTTTTTTAGAAGAAAATTATCAATTTTCTTTGTCGAAGTATTAACAGTACTGTTAAGTTTCGATTCCTATTTTACATGCAGGCTGCCACAGAGTTATTGTGTGCACTGAAATGTTTTATGCTTGTCCTGAAATATATATTAAATTAAATATAATGAATTCTTTCACCATATCATGACAAATATACAATAAATAACATAGTAAATAATATTATAAATGTTCAGAAAAATAGTCCCAACTCAAGTTTTTTTGATGATGTCTAAAAATTTACATCACAGACCCCACTTTTGATTTTCTTGTCTGAATATAAAACTTTGACCATACCGCTTAAATTCAGTAAAAAATTAATACTTTTGATAATTTTATTGTTTGTTTAATTTTTAATGCCCCCCCCCCCCAAAAAAATGACATTTTAGGAGTGCAGAAAGATCAAAATATTGATTTTGCAAAGTAATTTTAAACTTTTTCTTTGTAACAATTTTCAGTGTGTACATTCAAAATAGAATAAAGCATTGTTTGGTCCCATAATTAATTCGGATAAAAAATGTTGGAGGAAAAAATTGATTTTTGTGCAAGATGCAATTTGAGTTCAAAAAGGTCATATCAAATTCATCATAGCCTCAAAAAAAGCATATTGTCCTCCATTTTTTGTTTTGATTTTTAATTAAGCTATGTGTGTTAGACACTAAAATGTATTTGACAAAAAATCTTAAAATATATGATAACAGGATCCAGCCTACTTAAGGCAGCGTGTGCTTTTATGTAACAATTAAAGCATTCATATAAAAATGAAAGCATCAGGTTAAATACAAGATTAGTGTTTTTTTTCACCTTCATAAACATGGGGTATTCATGATGCATAAGAATAAAACAAAAACCACATACATACACACACACACTCACTATTTTATTGTGGGTTTTTTTCAGCAGCGTCTCCCACGAGGTTGTTCAATCACGTGCAAAAAAAACCCTCTGCAATCGATGAACAATTCTAATCACAGGTTATATACATGCGGACGATACAGGTTCTGCTTAGCGTGCAATACAGTGGGACACAACACAGACTTATGTAAATGTAGGTCATCTCATTCCTTCAATGTGAGTCGATTATTGGGGTCCTCGGGAGGATTCGGTTTTTGCAAATAAATAAATAAACATGATAAATGAATAATAAATAAATAAAGAAAGAAAGAAAAAAAAAGAAATGTGCATTTTACAAACAATTAAATTAAATTGTTCCATTTTAGCAAATCAATATTCTTGTGATTTTCATGCAATCAATATATATTTGTTTTCAAATGTTTATCTATATAATATCTCTATGGAAAATATAAATCAGAAAAAAATATTTTGAAAACAAAATGTTGCTAATGATAACAGAATCAAACTGTACATTACTCTACTTTTAAATTCCTTTTTGTGAGTACCAAAAATATGGCACTTTAAAGGCAAAGGTACAAGGTATTCATTTTTTAAGACAGATGGAAAGACAGACAGAAAAAACTTCTTGTATGCTTGACTTTCTTTATGTAGTTTCGTACGGTAAAACATTTAGCGATATGACTGTGATAAATCCTTCGATTTAAACTGTGTATAAGCTCATATACTACCCTATGTGACGTCACAATTATTTGGTGACTATTTGTGTTAGGTGTAATACCATACTGAGTCAAAGAGGAGAGAATGTCTTAAAATTTTGAGTTTAAATACATGTATAAAAAATAACGTGTCTAGGTTTACTGAGTTTATTCATTTTTAATCGTACCTCGAAACATCTTATAACTCAAACAGACATGGATGTGTTATATAGTCCAATGTATATATACCTTTATAAAACTAACAAATTTTTTTTTAAATTGAATGGCGTACCTCGACAAAGACTTGAAATATTTCTTATCATTTAATAAGATTGCCCTGCATGAATCATAAACATAAAATTCATTATTTATACTTCATATTGCAAGGGTCTACTGCAACACGAGGAAAATTTATTACTCAACATTACCTCTAACCGCTTATGCAAAAATAAAAAAAAATCATATTAGCATCCACCACTACAAAGAAAATCCCTTTAGATGGGCCTCATCATACTGCAAGGAAATCCACAAAAAATATCAAAGCAAGACGGAAGGGACAAGATCTGCATAATAAATAAACATTTGATGTGATATATAAACCTGTTCCACAGAATGGTTTACCATTAGGGATAGCAGGTGTCCGTGTGGTGAATACACAGTGTTTTCTTATTGTTAACATCTAGTCTTCTTTACTTTTGGTGCTCTGTTGTATATTTCACACTGCAACCATGAGATGCTACATTAGTTTTGTGTTGCTTGCATGGATGCTTTTACTTTTGTGTGAATTTAACGCCGCACAGGTGAGAAATCAGAGAATTTTAATGTTATACTAATGTTTGGAAGAAATAGGTTTTTATTATATTTCCATTACTAATCAATTTTAAAACCTAAAAATCAATGTTTCGAAAACCCCTTTTGTAATCTGAAGCAAGTATAGTTGAAGCTTTAATTGTGTGCTTAAAAATGAAAGACGACAGAGAAAGCTTCTTTATTTTCAAGTTTTCTGGCCTCGAGATCATGAAACAACAAACAGTCCAAAATAAAGATGATTATTTTATATTACATCAGCAAAGTGTTATTATTAGCAAATTTGGAGCTGACAATTAACATATTAGAGTAACATGTAATTGACTTAATTCAAAGTTGATTGCATGATCCTTGGGCCTGAAATGACTCAAAGTTCTTAAAACTATTTAATGCAAAGTCTCCTTTGTTCCATTTCATAATATAATTCTTTAAAGCTACCATAAACAGGAGGAGTAATTGAACGATGACCAATATGTAAATTTCAAATTGAAAGCTTTACATCTTCATCTTCTTCTTCAGAGTTGGAATATTGCTTCATTTGACTAACTTATTCTTTATATAATAGCTAGCGATGCTTTCTTCTACAATACTAAATTCCTTTTACTTTAAAGTCATCTTACCTAAACAGAATGTTATTTAAATTTTCAATATTCATTTCCGTTTGGTTAATGATAATCTTTAATATTATATTCAAATTCGAAAAAGAAAGTGTGATTTTCTTTGAATTAGCCCAAACTTTAAGCTTCATGTTAACAACATTATGTATTGCAATATATATTTTTATAATCGGATTTTGTTTTAAATATTTTTTTATTTTTATTTTTGCAGACCAACATCCCTGATTTATTGCACTTAAATTTCAAATATGATATAAAACATTCAGCTTGAGCAATATCTTATTTTCATTTTTTCCTACAATTGACATAAAGAAGGAAATTGATATTTTGATTTAAAACCAAATGGCTTTAGACATGGCGTCAGCAAATTTGATTTTAAAAGACTTTGATACTGGTAATGATGGGAATTTAAAGGGAGTTGCATTCGTTAAATTTAGAATTTAAAATAAAATTATTTTCCATTCCCTTTGTCCCTTTTTAATTTATCAAATCAAAACTATTTTTAGAATATGTATATATATTTAATTATCATTTTACAAGTAATCTTAAAAAAAAATTGAACACGTTGAAAATAATTTTTGTCATTTTATAACAAAATTAAAATTGGTTCCACAAATGATATTAATTTCTATAAATACATCATAAGATGACAACAAACTAAGGAGCCATTGCTAAGTTAAAATTTTTTCAAAAGAATAAATAGGACAAACAAGCTAATTTACTGATTATTCACAGTGATTTGATTAATATGTTGTCAAAACATGACAACTAAATCAACACCGTCACAAAAACAGACTTTATTGAAATTTCGTACATGTACGAACTAATTACATAGAAATTAACTCTTCAGTGATGGAGATATGTTTAGTCTCAATTGACAAATCGCCATTATTACAATTTTTATCCTTTTTTGATAGACATTTTCACGCCCGGCTTGATGCCGGTTTACGGCGGAAATGCAAATTCTGCCATTCACTCAGTAGGACTCACGGTCATAAATTTGCCTGCTTTATTTCTTAAACAATAACTGCTACTCATAAACCGCGACCTTATGCAATATACTGTCTAATAAATCCATTTCCTTGGTTAGTCATCGCAGAATTATACCTACAATGGTGCTATATTAGTATACACAAGTAGGTCGTCAAGTTTTTCCCTACTTTTTCTTTCAAGGGATCTTCAATTTGTTTGATATGATAATACATTTTTTTTAAAATTTTATAATTATGACGAAGTCATATGTTGACATTGTATTATGTATTTATTTTTTTATACTTTCAATCATTTTTAACATTTTCCCCCAATTTTTATGACTTAGTTTACGGTGCTATGATTCACAACTTAAATTGTATTTCTAAAATAGAAAATATTTAAATTAAATTTCAAAAAAATAAAATATTTACGAAAAAATAATTTGATTAGATAATAAATTTGATTCTTGAAATAATTTTATACTGAACAACCATGGAGCAACCTCACTTGTTTTCAATCTCATGATATCTGAAAGAGTATAAATCATTTCATTATATCATATCAAGCACTTAATAATAATAATAATAATAATAATAATAATAATAATCATAATAATAATTAAAAGATAAATAATTAAATAAAATTAAATTAAAATTAAAAGATAATTATTTGGATAGAATAATGTAGATCCAGCCTTCCAATACTCTTCTGCAAAAGTACTAGTATTGTTAATTTCTGTAAGGCAAATAATTTATGAATATAATAATATTTGATTACGGATTACGTAAATATCTCAAGGTTTATGTCTCATGATTTTATTATACGAGACTTAAAATTTCGATTTTAGTTTAGAAATGAGACACAATTCATAAATATTTTTATTTTCATTTCAGAATCGGTTAAAAACACGAGGAAGACGACTGCGCCTACGCTACATTCCCATATCGTCCTCAGCACTCAGAAGACTTAGACTTTACAGAAGACCATCTGCTCCAAGACAAGCAGTGAGATACAGATCACGTGGTCGATCGCCGTCTGTTAATGTCATACGGGCAAACTCATCCCCCAAAAGGCAGGTTGCAAAATCAACAAAAGTAAAAAATAGCAAGAAAGTCACCAACAACCATATAAAGCAAACGATTATTCTGGCTAAAACAGCCAACATAATGTCACCTGTAGGCGGAAACCAGAACAACGGAGCATCGTCCATTATAAACAAAGGAAAAGGATCCGTGCAAAGCCGGGCACCACGACGAAGATCTGGCTCCAAACGCCCTAGGCAACCAACCAATGCTCAAATCGGAAAATCAGGCATGCAACAAAACCTTCCCATTGCCCCTATTGCCGGTTTAGTAGGTCTAGGACATGGACAGAATGGCGGAATATTAGGACAAGGTCATCCACATAATGGAGGATTGGCAGTTCAAGGACATGGTGGACATTTCGGAGGTCACATTGGATCAAATGGTTTACACGGCATCGGAGGAAATGGACAAGGGCATGGTCATCATATGGGTAATGGGATTTTAGGAGGAAATGGTCTTGGTTCTGGCATGAACAATCTTGGAGGGAGTGGCTTAGGAGGAAATGGTCTTGGTTCAGGCATGAACAACCTTGGAGGTAATGGCTTGGGAGGGAATGGTCTTGGTTCAGGCATGAACAACCTTGGAGGTAATGGATTAGGAGGAAATGGTCTTGGTTCTGGCATGAACAACCATGGAAGAAATGACTTAGGAGGAAATGGTCTTGGTTCTGGCATGAACAACCATGCAGGAAATGGTCTTGGTTCTGGCATGAACAACCTTGGAGGAAATGGCTTAGGAGGAAATGGTCTTGGTTCTGGCATGAACAATCATGGAGAAAATAGAAATGGAAATTCTTTAGATAATGTACTCTTTGGTGCTAACGGAAATGGAAATAATTTGCATGGCTTATCTAGTCTCGGTGGGGGAGGAACAGGATTTGGGCATAACAATGGTCATGGACATGACATTGGACATGGTCAGCTACATGCCCTCCCTCAAGGTGTTGACGCACTTACCTCCCTAGGAGGAAATGGCGATCATGGTGCTGGAAATCCTCAACAGGATCTGATTTCTCAGCTTATTACAGCCAGCTCTATGAACTCGTTGCTAGATGGCTCGCTGCCGGTTGCAGCTGGAGCCGCTAGCCTTCTTAATTCTGGACTTTCTTCCGGAATGTCATCCGACATTTTATTGGAGAGTTTATTAGCAGGAAATCAAAATTTAATGAACAGCGTTCCAAACCTTCCAGGTTTTAATTCAGTATCCACTAAACCACATGCTTCAAACGCTTTTGATTTTAACAGTTTAACAACGGCATTGAAAGGTCATTTTTCCAGTTTTTCTCCATCTATCGGAGTTACACCGGCAACATTGCCACAAGAGCCGGTAGTAATTAAATCCAATGGTGGACAGCTAAATATTGGCTTAAAAAAGGACCCAAGTACAGGCAAATCAAATATAGTTATCCAGACAGCCGCTGCAGCCATAGCAAAAGAAATGATGATGGAGGCCGAACACGGTGAGATGGCCTGAGTTTATCCAGTCCCACCGTGAGATGGCCTGAGTTTACCCAGTCCCACTAAGAACGACCAAAGCCAAAATTGTGTACCTTGGAAGATGGAGGTGCAATTTAGGCGTTGAATGTGGCCCAGTGCTATAGAAGAAATTTCTACAAATGGTTTGTCCACAAACGAGGATTGATTACAGGAATGCAACACGAGTTTCCCTTTCCAGTTTCTTTTTAAAGTTGGTTTTCATAGTTAACAAAATTAAATTTTAATAAAAGACTGCATTATTATCTTCCATAGGAAAAAAGAACACCTTTGTAAATCTTATAATTGTTAATCCTTTTTAAATTACACGGTATTTTATAAAATTTGTTATTTATAAATTGTTTTAAATTCGAAACACTGAAAACTTTTATTAACCTGTAAACTAGTTTTGCTGTTCTATTTCCGGGATTGGAAACCGTGTGACAAGCAATGGACGCAGACTTGACACAAATCACTTAAAATGTCGCGGGACAGGACGCGCCTGTCTACGGTGAAGTTTTGAGTACCTTCAGTCCGGCGAGGCTTCTGACATATGTTCGCTTTATGGTCTGAGAATTGTCATTCACCCATACTTACAGGGTAAATTAAAAATCACGATCAGCAATTTTCACCTCTTCTCAATCCGTATTTGGTTTCTTTTTTACATATATATTTCCGGCGAAAGCTCAAGTTGGTTCATTTTAACGTATTTGTGGAATACGTCACGACAATCGTGTTACCTCTTTTTTTAAAAATAAGTGTGAAAAGATTAGCATAGCAATTTGTTTTCGTATTTTTTCGCTTAATTCTTATTTTAATTCATTTCTTATAGAAATGAAAACATTTTTATTGAATTACAATTTAGTTATTTGGAAAGATGCATTTTTAAAAGGTGATTTTAAAATTATATTTTTTTTATCCAGAATAAAAAAAATCGATGGTTTCACATCACTTACAAATTGTTATAATATATCAATAATAAAACTTGACAAATCACATTTAATTGTTACTCCATATAAAGTGCAAAACACAGCAGTAAAAAAACTTAATTTATTAGAATCAGTACACATACTTCATGTAAAATGAGAAACACAGAAATAAAAACTTAATTTATTAGAATTATGCCTCACATTTATACTTCAAGATCTATCACATCCTGATCCGGGAGAAATAATGTATCGCTATCGTTTGCTCATTCATATATCTCTCAACAAAATAAAAGAACGGAGAAAGCACTAACAGTCATCTTAATTAGGTTAATCATATACCAATCAGTCAGCAGTAATTAGTCATCAATAAATAGGCTGCATAAAACTTTCCCTTTTTTCTTGCCATTATTGTTAGTAGCGTTTATCTGCGCATGCCCAAGACCAGTTTCTTTCTCACAACTTTAAAAATTGTCATGCCAATTTATATGTGGGGATAGAAACTTTAAGACTTTTTTTTGAAAATTTGTAAACTTTGTTCGACATCAACTGTCTCATTGTAATTTTTTGTTTTATCAATTGTTTTAGTTGTATTTTTTGTTCTTTAAATTATGTTTTATTCATTGAATATGACTTTTTCTGTGTTTGTTAATCTTTATTTGACGAGAAAGATTGTACGCGAGTGTTTTGTTTCTAGACTTTGATGATGTATGAAAGATGAGCCATTGACCATTTTTATAATAAAAAGACTGAAATAAATCACTGTGTTTTTTTTTAACAAGGAGATTCTAGTCAAATAAATATAAAATGGTGACACAATCAACCAATCTGGAGGACTTCAAATTTGTGTACTTATGATTATAAACAAAGAAATCAGCGGAATTTATCTCGGTTAATGTAAGTTTAAGTAAGGCTCATTCAATTGCAAGAAAGAAAAAAGAAGGACGGAAAGAAAGAAATCATGCCAGTAAATTTTTTTTTGTTTGAAATTGTTTAAGAAATAATAACAATATAGATGTTAAAATTTAATGAAATACTATTTTAGATAGGAAGAATGCGTTCAAGAATAGTTGTAACTAGAGAAGGAACAACAGTCTTGCCATCGAATATGCCTTACATTGAGATTAATTTCGCAGACTTCTTTGTTTATAATCATACGTACATGCATGTTTCATTATGAGCCCGTAAGAAGCACCTCCAGATTTTTTTGGGGGGGGGGGGGCACAACGGAAGAGGAAATCCTTTACTACCAAATTTAAAAAAAAGTTCATTTGACGTTATAATTGAGGGACACAATCATATATTATGTCCCCCATACCTACGGGCCTGCATTATTAACTAACACAGCATACTCTATAACTATCCATGATATACCATAGAAAAGCATGGTACCATACCTCATGAGTCGTATTGACATACAAGTTAAAAATCAATCGTTTATTTTATAGTTGTTATTTCAAATTTTCAAATTTATTTACAAATTACAAACACACACACACACCCACATAAGTTAATTGTAAAATGGAATTTTTTTTATCCGTCTCAAATTTTGTCATAAAGGGGCTGAAATTGTGACGATAAATACGTTCATAACATGTACTTAACATTTAGATTTATACCGGACATTTTTGACAATTTTACTTTTTTTTTAAATTGATTTACCTATATATACCTAAAGCACCAAAAAGGCTTAAGAAAACATTATTAATTAAATTTTGATTTTAAAAAAACTTTAATACTAGTTAAAGGCTTTCTGAGACAGGAAGCTCAAATATAAAGTCCGCTGATCCTTTTTAAAATTCTGCTTTTATGAATCAATAACTAATTATTTTATAAAATGCATATTTTTACACTAATAATAATTAGAACACATTTATAAGTAATAGCAAATTTCTATACAGCTTAAAAACTTAAGACAGTTATAATACCTCAGTTACTATTTTAAACGTCTGCAGATAATTTTCACAAGGAAAGTATTTTTATTTTTTGGAACGTATAACTTTTTTTATGGAATGGTATAGAAGAGGGCGGCGGTTGTTGGGTGGGGGTCACTATATGTTAAACTTTGAGATCGAACTATCCATAAAACGAAAATCATTATTGGAATGAAAATACAAAAAGACTTCACGCGAACTGCATTCCTTCACTGAACAATGCAATAGAAAGACAATAAAACGCAGCGCAGGACAGGTTAACCCAGCCGTGTTACGTAATAATACGGAATAACACGCACTGACGAGATAACAATTAGACATCCCTGTCCATGTTAATCCCTGACATGGCGATAAAAATTCTAATTTTCCTTTTAGACCAACCCCTGCTGCCATTTTATCAGCCGAAATCTAAATGTAAAAGCCGCCATTATGCGCGGGGTTCTCTGCGTGTTATTATTCGGGGTGTTTCTGCCATTTTCGGGTGCTCAAAGGTTCCGTGGGTCGGTAAGTTTACTTTGTATCATATAAGAATATTTTAAACATTTTAAATTTTATGAATACTTCTGATTTGTTTTTCGTCTTCTATAAAGCTAGGACCAAATGTGCAATGTATTACATTTCAAGATTTTCATTTTGTAATAAAATCATCGATAGAAATTATTTAACTAGTTTTTAAACTTAAAAAGTGGGGGAGGTAATGTTTTGTATGCGATGTTGACTTTGCGAAGAATAGTCTACCACAATGCAAATCTACTGAATCAACGTACGAATGAAAGCTATCCAGAATTCCCGAAAACACGAGAAATAAAACAAGTTTGAATCTAGGTAAAAAAAAAAAATAAAGGCTCTACTGTAAAGACAAATAATAACCCCCGTAGAATAATGACCGGGGGTCGAAAAATCACCACCGGTCATTTTTCTACGGGGGTCATTATTCGTCTTTACAGCACCTTTAACCCAGATCAAGTTCAAATTGCTTCCGTTTCAAAGTAGTGTATTTAATTTCAAAATTCTCCCCGGTTTTACTGTTCCAACATACCATCCCTACAAAAAAAATTAAAAAAAACAAAAACCAAACACCCCCCCCCCCCAAAAAAAAAAGACAAGCAACCAAGCTAAGTGACAGACAGTTTGTTCAACGGGATTTTTTTTCTTTTATTTATATTTTTATTTATTTATTTATCTTATTTTATTCATTTTATTTATTATATATATTTATTCATTTGGAGTTTCGATGATGAATAACTAAATGAAATTGACTTTGTTTTTCTAAATATATATTAATGGTAATCACAGGTTCATTGTCCATGCGTCAATGTAAGCTAATATTGCTCGATGATTGTATAACTCTAGGCAGAGAAGGTAATTATCACAAAATTGTAAGATATATTTAATTTATTTTTAGAAATGTCGCGAATCAAAATTATATATAAGCCAATAGTAAAAATGACTTTATCGCTCTGATAAGTAAGAATCGCCTGTACTTTGTTGTGTTTATCTTAGTGATTTTTTCTCTCATAGAGGCGGATAATTCGGAGGCTTGATTTAGGCAGACCTTCTCTGGATTTTTCAGTAGCAGGCGGTCCCGAAACAGTGCTTGGAAATCGACCCTCGACTTTTGACTCGGTCCCTATTGAAACTGTAAGAAGTGTTCGGGTTCGGAATGCTCGACCTCGGTCCGGATTGAAAATTCACTCTGGTGGGACTTTTAATGACCTTGGAAGATCAGATAGTGTCGTAAACTCAAGAGGTTTTCAATTAAGCAGTGACTCTATAGATCGCAGGAGGTCCTTTTTTTCTAGCATTAACAATGTGCAACAAGAAATTACAAGATCAAGACCATCTACAGTAATTAATTCACGAAAAGTTCAATCTGGCTTTCCGGAACGGCAAACAGGAAATGACGTCAGAAATCAACAATCAGCGCAAGGGAATCATATAGTTAGAGAGATGCAACTATTAAACTCTTTACTTAAGGAACAAAGTTCGTCTATAAATTCTGGTGTTGAGCGTGGACGAGATCAGTCAAGCCGCACTCGTGGACTCACTGAGTTCGGTACTTTGTCCAGTGATGTCCAAGGAAATGTGAATGACCGTCATCTTACCCTTACCCCAGAATCCTCTCGTTTGTCATCAGTCCAGAGTGGTTCTCAATTTCAACCAAAAATCGTGGTTCTACGAAACCAGAACTCCGCTAAACCATTGAATGTTCAGATCGGGAATACACGGGTTGAAGTACTTGGTGACCAGCGAGACCCTAGCTCACAGCACTTGATTCAGACACTTCGAGATACCCTGGTATCCTCAGGAAGCAGAGTTAATAATAATCAAGTAAACTCAATACCTAACAGTTTTCCGAACGCTAATCAAAATGTTCCAAATAGTAGCTCTATTCAAGACCTTCTCAACCAACTCCAGACAGCTTCGGTTACATCAGCACAATCTAACGCAAATCACAATGACCCGAACACAAAATTGATGCATGATCTTATCAATCAACTCCAGGGTTCCTCAGGTTCCTCTACACACTCTAACAGTAATCACAATGTTCCAAGCACAGCCATCATTCAAGACCTTCTCAATCAACTCCAGACTGCTTCATTAAATTCAGTCCAATCGAACATTAATCAAAATGCTAAAACCACGAACTCAATTCAAGACCTTGTTCACCAGCTTCAGAGGAATTCAGCTACATCAGTACAGTCTATCCCCTCTTTAACAGATCAGTCTATTGCTGCAGCTCTTCCGGGTCCTGCTATAATTAATAACGCTCGGCTTCCTGTGACAACCACAGCTTCACCAGTTCCCATGGTAACCACCCCTTTGACTCCTTCAGAAGCACTAAGGCAGATTCTAGGACCTGGTGTGTCCGATACGTTAGTGAAACAGATGGCACAGGATATACTTCCGCCGGAACTACAGAGACTGGATGCCATTTTGACAGGTCAAGGTCAAACATCAAATACCATCAATAAAAATACAAACACCGGATTTTTAAAAATAGGAAACCAGACACATACTTTCGATGTAGGCAGTACTAAAAAGATAAAAATAATACATGACAAACATGGTCCACGTGCATCTGTGACGTCAGTAAATAACGGAAGTGGAATTATAAGACACTCCATGGTCACGGAAGAGCCATTGGAATATGATGAAATTTTATTACGAAAAGTGCTGCAGAAAATGAATGGTTGAAAAAGGGAAGTAACATTTTCTTATTTCTTATTTAATTTATTTTTATCAAATAAAACAAGCTTGATTATTTGGCTAAGCCACCTTTGATCAGCAGAAAGAATGATATTCACATAAGACAAATATGGATAACGGAACAAAGAAAATATTGAAAATTTCAGTTTGTAGGCATTTGAAAGTGATTTAGAAAATTTTGATTATTTTTTCTAAACAGTGGAAAATTGACCATCACACACTTTTTGTCTTAATTGTTTGCTGTTCTGCGATAAATATTTTTTTCTGCTTTTCTCATATTTTTTTAAACATTCGTATCATAATGTACTTATACTTGTCCTATTTATGAATAAATGCATATGCTTATTTAGTGTTCTTTATTTGAAATTTGGAGAAGGATGCAAGAGAGTGATTTGTATGAAAATTCGGTATTAGACGCATACACTTAAACTTTTTTCTGTATACTAATCAAAATCGTTAAGTGTTTTTCTATTTCAATTAAAGCTAAATATTTCATTTTATTAATTGTTAAACTATGTAACATTAATGGATCTTTAATTGCTTTGCCCAATTTAAAAATAAAACAAAAACAAATAAAAGTAACGATGATTTTTAAACTACTATCATGTTGTATATTTTGAATTTACTATGAGGAAGTAATTGTAAATTCAAAATTTACAACATGATTCAGTAATTAACAATTTCATTGATGGCGCTGGTTTTTGCCTCATCAAAATTAAAAAAAAAAAAGATTAGATTTTCACAAATTTATTAAGTAGAAAATAAACAAATATATAAATAAATACATCACGACCAGCGTGCAGTGTATAAACAACAAAAGAGTGGATTTACTGAATGACGTCACTTCCGTGCAACGAAATGTCCTACAACGCAGCATACGAATGTAAGGTAAAAAATAATGTTGAGTTCATCACTCTGTGCTAGAGTTCTTCACACAAATTGCGTAGACCTTCGGAATTAGAAACTATTTTAGAGTATTATTGAGATTAGCTTCTTCTTGTTACGACTGATATACATATTATATTAATTAAAATCGGTAAAATGAAAGTTGTACCAAAGTAAAATAATTTTAAGTTTCATCATTCAGGGATGTTCTGGCTCCTCTGTTTCGTAATCGATCGGAAATGTCGTTGTGCTTGGAAAAATGGAAGAAGAAGTGGATTCCGTTTTACTTTCTACAGGCGCATGCGTATTAGCAGTAACTCTGACGGCGTCCACAGTGTTACCTTGTACCTTCTCAGTGACCAAAGCTGTGGAAGATTTCTGGAAGTTAGAGGAAAGAAGTTTCTGCCGTATCAACTGCTCAAGAGTCGAACGTAATTCACCAAGAAGACGTTGGGATTCGCTTCCAGTTTGTACATGTTGGCTCCGATGGACACCATTTTGTCCGATTTGACCTTTGTTTTGACCTTGTAAGACCTGTGTGTTTTTCTGTCCAGTTTTACCGGGTGAATTCTTCAATGCTGATGAAATTATGAGGGAACGTTGATCCTGTTGAATGATGGATTTTCTTTGTTGCTGAGGTGAGGGACGATTTCTAAACATAACGTTGATGACCTTTGTTGGTTCCCCTCCCCTTCCGTGAATTTTGAGTCTTAGATTACGGCGACTCTTCAGTATTATATGCGGCTGGCCCTCAGTTTTTATAGAGACTGTCCTGCTGTGCGGATCAATTTGAATCTTCTTCATTAGAGTTGGCCTGTTCCTGATAAGGTTTAACTGGGTTGGATTGCGCATGCGCGTCAGTAGTTGCTGCACTCGAGGTGAATGTTGCACGTTTTGTTGTCTACTCAGTGATGTGGTTTGTTGTTTATGCACCTGAAAAATAAAAACCAAAATACATAATTACATAACAAGTAAATGTTAAATGATAAATCACGTTATTGTGAAGTTATTCATGCTGTAAGTCATTAAAACATGGAAGGTATGATAATGTAGAAACAAGAACGAAATTGACGAAACGAATGTCATTTTTTCCAGCAATGTTTAAAGAGGAAACTTACTTTTATACTACTGATTAATAATTAGATATAAACAATATTGATTCACTCGCACCCATTATATATAATCACATTTATAGGAAATTAAATAAATTTAACTGGTAGAGTATTTTGTCGATGCTGTTTACGATTATGAAGATGTGACACATGTATAAGTAAAATAACATGATTAGCAACTTAGTTCTTTACAGAGAGAGAGAGAGAGAGAGATAGAGAGAGAGATGCATTAAAATTATGGGAAAAAATTACAAGGAAAACGAATAACAAAAGAATTGCTTACCGTGCTTGATCGGAATAGATTCCTCGGAGCTGCAGTAACAGCTGATAAAGCGAAAGCAAGAACGCAAAGGATTGTGGGATTCATCTTGTTACCGGATGTTTGTTGGTTTAAAGGTTAAAAAAAACGAAAGTACTTTAAATGCCTTTGGTCCTTGCTTTTCGAAAAATGTTCCTTCTTTCTGTTTGAAAGAAGGACGAAAAATGGACAGTTGAGGGTGAAGTAACGAAGTTCCAGACTAGATCGTGACCTATGCTTATATAGAGGTACACGGTCTAGAAATCAATTAATGATGTGTTAATTTGATTAATATTTTTACTTTGTATTGTTACGTAATCGTATGTTTTATTTGGGTTTTATGATGACAAAGACTTTTTGCGCTGGGTCAAACAGACAAACAACATTGATTTGTTTCTATAATTAGATTAATAGTGTTTAAATGACATGAATGATATTGAATAAAATACACATTTTATTGTTGATTACTGCGACTAAATATAGAGAAAATTCTATAGGCATTGACTGCTGCCTTATCCAGTTGTGTTTCTACATAATAAAATATGTTCAAATTAGACTAAAATTGCAGGAAAGTAGAGAAAAACTTCGGGGGGGGGGGGGAGGATTTAAAAATCAGGATCGAAGCTACTAATATTAAAGAAATGCCATTAAATTCTATTCCCCATATACTGCAAGTGGTATATCGTGGTCTTTTTCTAGTAATTGTAAGGTTTTACAGATTTTCAATGTCATATCTTTATTTTTTTTATTACACACTTATTATTTTTTTTTAATCAAAATAATGTTCATTCCACACTATATATTAAAAAAACAATGATGAGAATGAGTTATCCTCATTTCACTGAATTTACTGAAATTCCTTAAAATAAAAGAATTTTGTACAGTTACACAAATTACATATATATACTCAGTGATTTCAGAACACCTGCCATTCTTCTAAAAATTTCATTATGCAAAATGGATCTGAGCACAAAACAGGCATTCTTTATCATGAGCAAGGTGAAAATAACGAACAGTGATCAATCTCATAGAAACAGCTAAAAAAAAACACATCGTGAACGGGCAAAAACACAGACCCCTGGAAACACAGAGGTGGGATTAGGTGCCTAGGAGGAGTAAGCGTCCCCTGTTACTTGATCTCTTTCTTAAAATCTTATCAAGAGTCTGCTGTGTATTTTTGGCATTTGGGACAGGAGCATTCAATATACAAAATCCTGTTTCTTAAATGGTTTTATATCAATGCATTAAGAGCAGATGCTATAAACAGAAAATGAATACATGGATTGGTATATCTTTTTTTTTTTTTTATTTATTTTAGTTCTATAGAATGCATATAGCAAATCCCTAAAATACTAAGAACTTATACACTTTCTACAATATTTACTCACAACTCTTATAAGATTTTAAATTTTTTTATGACATTGTTAAGTTAAAGTTTGTACGGATAAACTTAATTATTCATTTTATAAACATAAAATTACTATTTTCATGATTTTCGAAAAAGTTCTAGTATTATCTTTCTTAAAGTTACTTTGCAAAAAAATTTTCAAAGAAATTATGAAAAATATAATAAATGTAAATTTTTGAAAGTAAAAAAAATGTAGCTACTAGTATATAGTGCTTTCTTAAAAACTTCATAATAATGTCCTATAAAATGGCACGGAACTGAATAGAATTATGGAGGAAATAGCAGAAAGTGAGATTTTTTTGCACGTAATAAAAATATCTACAAATTCCCAATATATCAGGTTTATGATATTTTCATCATTTACAACCAAACGTACATGTATATGTATCAATCCATCGTGCATCTTTTGCTTGTTTAATCGAAGTGCCCTGATATTGCAATTGGAAGGTTTTGTTGACTCACACAGTGTGTAGGGATAAAAAAAATACCATTGGAAATTTAAACAAGTGAAAAAGGTATGTGGAGAATAGAGTTTTACTCTTTTATTTTATGTCTTGTTTGATTTTGGTTGAGCTGAAGAATGTTTAAAGCAGGCAGCACGATCCTAAAAAACAGGTATAAGTTTTAATTTTGATTTTGTATTTTTTTGTTTTCAAAAATATTTCAAAAATTATGTAATTTTGAAAATAATCATAATGTATTTGCATTTGAATGTTAAATATTAAATTATTAGATTATTAAACAAGCAAACAACTTTTGAAGCATATTCAATAAATAATATTCTAAGTCTTCAAGACCTATTTTATTGTATATTTTATTACAATAAAAATAACTGAAAACAGATTTAAGCCATTATAGTGGTTTAAATCTGTTTTCAGTTATTTTTATTGTAATATCCCGTAGCTATGTTGTATACATATATCAATCAACATATACAGTTTAGGATGCTTTTACCTTATTATTTCAAAAACAATCCGGATATATTGTAATTTTTAACAATATATAGTATGTTCTTTGGGGGAATACTATCGAAAAGGTTTACAAATTTTTAAATATATAAAAACTGCAATGCTCATCTTGTAAGATTAAAAAAAACAAAAATAATAGAAAAAGGATTTGTAATTTTCGTAGATTAATAAAATGTCTGGAAGTTCAAATGAAAGAGCTTATTACATATTTTTTACTATTTCAGAAAAAAGGAATACTGAAGACAAAAACAGCATTTTTATGCAGCCATGTAAGATTTATTTTGATGAATAAACCATGGGTAAAAAAAGTTCACGTTTTCTTTTGCATGAAAAGGGATCAAACGATATAGCATTGAACACATGTTTTGCCACCAGAGTAACATCACATTGCACAGAACACTTGCTCTGTGCATGCCCTCGCACAGCGCATGCCCCAAGGCAATAATATGTTCATGCCCAGTTACACATGATTTATGACGTATTAAGAAGCCATGAAACAATGATTTATCTTGTGTAACAAGCTCTTCATTGTACGATGTAAATTAATGTGATTTGATTAATAGGTTTTGTTAATTATCTATTGATTGTGATAATTCCCTAAGATAGCACCTGTCATGAAAACACCCACATACTTTCTGTCGGTCTTTACTTTTTTTATTTGCCAGATAAGATATTTAAAACTTATATTCAGTGCTACATTTACCTTTTTTTTCAAATTCTTTGACATTAAATTTGCCTTTTTAAAAATATTTCTCTCTTTATATTTGATTCGATTGTTGTATGCATGAGTATTTGTCTTTACTTTCATGTTTGTTTTCTGATGAGAGAGAGAGAGAGAATAAATCGACATATTGTTAATAATACCTGATTGGTTAGCTGTTTAAACATTTTTATTAAACAAATTACACGACGTAAATGTAAATAAGAACACGAAAAAGGGATAATTTTCAAGTAAGGTTGTTGTATTATAATTAAAGAACTATAACTCTTGTTGAGAACGTCTTGCAGTAAGCGAAAGAACAGCTTGTACTGCTACAATTATAAGTTATGAACTCTGATGAAAACAAACAAAATGATGTGCAAATAGGTAGAGAAACAACAACAAAAATTGATATTCCAAAAAATGTTCTAAATGTGGGTTTTAATACAGGCTCTTCTATTTATTTCCGAAGATCACCTTTTCCAAAGCTCTAGAAATTCCTGACAATGAGTACATATACTAAAATAACATTTGAAAAGTATGTTTGACATTGCTCTTCAAATAATCCTACAATACTATTTTAATTTATTGCAAAGTTTTTCTCAGGGAGAATACGGAAAGAGATGAATATGCTTATCCAGTTTCAAACAATGTTCGTCTGCATGAGTTTTACGTCGCAGATTCTCACAGGAAATACGTAATTCTACCAATAAACAAAATTTATCCTCCTTAAAAATAACGCACAGGATTCACAGTCTATCCAAAAAAAATAAGATAAAATAAAATTAAATATACAATAATAATACATTTTTCATCTCAATACATTCAGTTATTTCCTATCATTCAACACCGTAAGCTATTTATAATGTCATCTTTGTGTGCACAGGCCATACACAAGGGTTTGCATTACTTTAAAATGCCATCTTAGTATGTAGATTTTTTCACGTGTAATGTGAATATTTTATTGTTTGAAACTGCTTAAAATGTAGTCCAATTATTTCAGGGTGGTATTGTTCAGTATATGCTTTACATTCTAGAAACATATGTTTCATGAAAGGCAATGCCATAATTAAATTTGTGTCTTTTTGTCACAGAATTACTGTCATACACATGAAATTCAACTTAATTTTAATTAACTTCAATAAAAAGACAGAATAAAATAGTCAATTCTGAATTATTTTAAAAATAAGCAAATTCAAAGGGATAAAACCACAAAAAAAAATACGTCTTTGCTATTCTTTGATATAAAATTAGGTATTTGAATGAATGAGAGATTAAAAGGCAAAAGGCGCTAGGCCATCTTTAAAATAAAGTTTGCTTGCCCTCTCCCGACTCGGAGTGAAAAAATTGAGTCGGTAGTTAGGTGAGAAATTTTTTTCAAAGAAAATTTCAAAATCAATTCTGAATTTTCAAAATATATTTTCCGGAATGCATAAAAAAGTACTTCCTGGAGGTTAAAAAAAGTTTTGAATCGGGCCATTTTTAGCCAGTCGGTTGGGAGAGGGAAACCAAACAATTGTTTTAAAGATGGCCCTAGATAAATATTTTAAAAGTACTAATCTTAAGCACAATTAAGTGTGTAAAGAAAGACATCAATAGACGATTGGTATCTTCATGACTATAAAAGAAAGAATAAATACACAGATTTTCCAATAACACGAAAACAACATGTACACAGATAGCCGGAGGATATACCTTCAATGATGCATAAAAATGTTGTTATTTGTTTGCTATAATAAATTATTAATTATCAAAAAATAATAAGCTAAAAGATTTAATATACTAAGGAAAAAGTTGATGGTACAGTTGCACACTTACAATCAAACACCATATCATATTAATTCAATAAAAACATAATCTTCATAACATAAAACTTTAATAAAAATATAATCCTCATATCACAAAAATTTGATAAAGATATATAATCCTCATATCACAAAAAATTGATAAAGATATAATCCTCATATCACTATAATTTAATAAAGACATAATC